TAATTCATTTTAAAATGTAACAACATGGCGTTCCTTTTGTGAACACTTTTCTGCTTGACTTGGCATCAGTACCATGCAGAGCGAATCTGATGATTATTTTTGGATTAAGTGAATAATAACTGGAAAGCAGAAGGAACTTAGTATAAAAATAATAATAGCTTCTGCATAATTCAAACCAGATGAAGCTAAAATTACATCACATGAGGAGTTTTGGCTGAAACATGTTCAGACAAATGTTTCTTTTATTATAATGCAAAATGCATTTAGTTTTTTGTACTCTTAGGTTGTTTTCTTCTCTGAATATCTTTTATTTCACCAAATGGCTTTTTTTGAATCCAGTTAAGAATTAAATGTTTACAAAATTATTTGACAGTTAGTTCTACAATCGATTAATCATTTCAGTCCTAACACTCCTTTATTTAACTTGTCAGTTTTAACATATTTTTTGTATTTTCATTTTTGCGTTCGTCATACTGTACGTCTAAATTTGAAATACCGGGCGCGCTAATCTTTACGTGACCTTTTTCGATTGAACTCAGAGCCTCGTTACTCATTAGTGGTCCATGTCTGATATTTGCTCCTTTAAAGATGAACAGCGTGTTGGCGTCTGTAGGCTGCTATGACCCAGTAGCTACTGGGAAGGTGCCAGACATTGACGCTTTCAGCCTCCATGCTGGCGTGGATGACTCACCTTCTCGCTCCGTCTGAGTAACTGTGAGCGTTGGGTTGTGTTTATGCCTGAGCATATGATTGTAGAGCATAAACATTATGCTACACATTTAATTAGAAAACCTACGAGACGCAGGCATCAGCTTTTAGAGCTTCAGCGTCTAAAAAAAGCCACTAAATGCCACAATGAGCAGCTAACATTTGAGGATAGAAGTCAGTTTTACGTCTGCAGGATTAGTTCTTTGTACGGGACACCTGAAGTGACGTAATTATAATACAAAAAATTAACATGATTACAACGCAAATTTTCAACTGATTTTCCAAATCAAAGTTGTAAGTATAAGACTAATGTTTACAGTAGATATTATCTGTAATATTTCTTCTTCCAGTGACAACAGAAAGCAATAAAATATACAAAAATGCAAACAAATAAATGAAAAATGAAAATAAATAAAAATCTTAAATTAAATGATAAAAAAATAAAATGGAAAAAATATTTGATTAAAACTGAACTTCAAAAAATGCAATTAAAATAAATAGAACAATAAAAAATAGCAAAATGAAATTAGAAATATGAAAAACTACAAAAAAGTTTAAGTAAAAAATACAAAAATGAAAAAAAGCTAAATATGATAAAATAAATTGAAAAATGGAATTAATACAAAATAAAAAATACAGAAAATGTTATTTGAAATTACAGAAATGTACAAAAATACAATGAAATAAAAAAATATTCAAAATATAAATAAATGACATTTTACTAAAACATTACAAAGAACAATGCTGATTTTAAACTTAAAAATATTCTTATTGCTCTTCAGAGTTGTTACATGTTTGTTTGTGTGTTTTCTGCAGGGAGGGCAGCACCAGCATCCTTAACAACCTGCTGTCCAGGATGGAGCAATACGCCAACAACCTGGAGAACCTGGTGGAGGAGCGGACGCAGGCCTACCTGGAGGAGAAGCGGAAAGCCGAAAACCTCCTCTACCAAATCCTCCCACAGTAAGGAAGGAAAAAAACCAAAACCACCAATTAACTGAAGTTCAGCTGATTGGACTCAGTGACACTCTGTCAGCGGCGCTAAACCTCTGTATTAATTAAAGACTCAAACATATTTCCCTGCAGTGCAATCTCACTACAGAGAAAAGGGCAATAGAGGGAGGACAGGAAGAGCAAATCCAGCTTCCCTTCATCGTTTATCCTCTTCTTCCTCCTTCATCATGTTGAAATTAGGCAGACAGAAAAAGGGCCTGAGAGGAACAGAAGATCTGATTTCTCACCGCGCTCCAGATTTAAACAAACTGACCTCTGCCTCCGAGATGTTCCTGCCTTTGGTGTCGTTTGATTGAAGGGAAATTAACATGAGCAGAGATAAACTGACATCTGGGGATGATTTCAGTGGCCAGGCGTTCAGCCAGAGCCCAGGGCTGCTGGATAATAAGGAGAAAACAGCTGGAAAAACATTTTTCTTTCACTTTAGAGCCTCTGCCTTATTTACTGCACCAGATAATTCAATATTTTACAAAATCTATTACATGTGGATACCAGAACCTTACTTATTCCCACCGTTGTTTTAAAAAATCCTACTAAAAAAATTAAAGATGGCCGCCATCGTCAACAAAATGTGGCACGAGATTTGCAAATATTTATAAAAGATAAACACATTTAATGTCAAATTTTACATTAGACTCATAGAAATCATCTCTACTGATAGTTTTTCATTTTTCAATATGGCTGTCATGGAACATTAGATAAATCTGTAGCACACAAACAAATTAGCAGTTGCTAACACTGAACTGATAAGAACATAAATACTAAACTCCTAAACACATAAACAAATAGCAGACACTAAAGCTAACTGCTAAACCTATAAAAATGAGTGAAAGCTAAAGCGAAACCGCTGACACTAAACGGCTAAACACATCAAAAAAGTTAGCAGAATCTGATTCGGTCACATCTTCATGACTGGGGTGAATCTAGCAAACATCCAAGTCCTCAGTTTCTGATCATTACTTCAACATTGTATGAACAAAATAGCTGAAGTTGAAAACATGACGGGGTAACGTTGTGTCAATAATTTATTAAAAAGGTGCAAAAACAGCAGCCATCTTGAAATTAAAGTGGCTGACGGGAGACATTAGCGGTTAGCATGCTCATTCTAACTGTTTTTTCTCTCTCTGTGTGTGTGTGTGTGTGTGTGTGTGTGTGTGTGCGTGCGTGCGTGCGTGCGTGCGTGTGTGTGTGTGCAGCTCGGTGGCGGAGCAGCTAAAGCGCGGCGAGACAGTTCAGGCGGAGGCCTTCGACAGCGTCACCATCTACTTCAGCGACATCGTCGGTTTCACCTCTCTGTCTGCGGAGAGCACGCCGCTGCAGGTACGCTTCCCGCTCACACCGCGCCGCGCCGCGCTGTCGTGATCTCCAGCGGAGAGAGTGTGTTCCCCCACACACACTCTGTGTGTGACTGGAAATAGATCAGCCCTTAGATGGGAGATCTTGACGCAGAGTTGAGTCACTTCATCTAGACGGATACAGAATTTGCTCTGCTGTGGTGGAAATAGAAAGTTAGTTTCAAGTGCGCGAAGATATTTACACCAAAAACTCGACAGGAATACTTTTTACGACCAGATGGTTTTGCAGTGCAATTGTTATTTACAGTTATTATGTAGATTTTATGTGGGTTTTCTTGAATGAGAGGCATTTTGTAATCATTTTGTTTTGTGAATACCATAACATGTTTATGGAAGAGTAGCGGCAAACTAATTATTTTGTTCTTGTTGCAAAAAAGTCTCTAATTTACGGTAAAATACTGGCAGCTGTGGATGCCAGTATTTTACGGTATTTATTCAAAAACATTGTGCTTTTATGGGATTCATTCTGTAAATTCTTATATTTCTATTGTAAAATAAAATATGGTAAAATGTTACGGTATTTTACAATATTTGGTCAAATTCTTTGGCATTTCTACAGACATTTTTTACAGTGTAGTTATGTATTTTCTTGTTCTACTGGTTACTTTAAAAAAAACTGCTTGAATTAAATAAAAAAATCTATTTTTCCCTGCAGGTTGTCACGTTGCTCAACGATCTGTACACCTGCTTCGACGCCATAATCGATAACTTTGATGTCTACAAGGTGGGTTTGGGTCACCAGTGGGTCTAACTGGGACGTGTGGGTGGTGAACTGGTGCTGTACTGGTGCTGTACCGGTTTGTGTCCGGTCTGCAGGTGGAGACCATCGGAGACGCCTACATGGTGGTGTCGGGGCTGCCGGTCCGGAACGGGAAGCTCCACGCCAGAGAGGTGGCTAGCATGTCGCTAGCGCTGCTGGAGCAGGTCAGAACCTTCAAGATCCGGCACCGACCCAACGACCAGCTCCGGCTGAGGATAGGCATTCACACTGGTGAGTCTGAAGGTCACAGCGTTCAGGTGCTGGGTCAGGGGTCAAAGGTCAGAAACGACTTGTAACGCAACAAAAACGCCTTCAGTTAGAAACTGAAGCAGGATGAGCAGAAAACCAGAACTCTGAAGGGGTAAACATCCGACTGGATCATCCAACAAACCAACCAACCACTCTACATTCAACCATCCAATGGAACATCCAACATCCAACCATCTAATAGAACATCCAACCAAACATCCAACCATCCAATAGAACATCCAACCAAACATCCAACCATCCAATAGAACATCCAACCAAACATCCAACCATCCAATGGAACATCCACAAAACATCCAACATCCAACCATCTAATAGAACATCCAACCAAACATCCAACAAAACATCCAACCATCCAATGGAACATCCACAAAACATCCAACAAACCAACCAAACATCCAACCAAACATCCAACCATCCAATAGAACATCCAACCAAACATCCAACCATCTAATAGAACATCCAACCAAACATCCAACCATCCAATAGAACATCCAACCAAACATCCAACCATCCAATAGAACATCCAACCATCCAATAGAACATCCAACCAAACATCCAACCATCAAATAGAACATCCAACAAACCAACCAACCATCCTACATTCAACCATCCAATATGACATCCAACCATCCAATGAAACATCCATTCATTCGTCCATTAAACCGTTTATTTTATTTATTTGGATCATGATACAAGTTTAAAATCACACATGAGCAAAACACGTATTTTCACCACTATAATCTTAACCTGGTTGAATAGAAACAGGAAGAAATAAAAACATCCAATGTTTCTTTGCACCACAATAACTATCAGTTGTAGACATTGACCAGTAGCAGCATGAAGTTGCTGGTTGCTGGCAGCAGCAGCAGCAGCATCGGCGTTGTGTGTCCGGCCCTCTGACCGTCTCGGTTCCTCAGGTCCGGTGTGCGCTGGCGTTGTGGGGCTGAAGATGCCGCGGTACTGCCTGTTCGGAGACACCGTCAACACGGCGTCCCGCATGGAGTCCAACGGAGAGGGTGAGAGCTGCTGACATCACTTCCTGTCTGCTTTAACCAGGGAGACGTGTCAGAAACCAGCCTGTGCTCTGGAGATATTTTAATAATATTTCGTTTAATTATGTTATTTTTTTTGTGTGTGTTGAGAATTTGCGCTTTATTATGACGCCGTATTAGAGCCACGCTAAGAAAATGTTTAGTAAATTAATATTACAAGAATAAAACTATTTTTTATTTTCCTGTAAATAATATTTCTAATTTTAGGAATATTCTGGAAATAAAAAAACTAAAAATGAGGCGATTTAGTTCCTCAGTTTGCTGCCTCATTGTGAGTTGTGGATATTTTCCAGCTGGATCTTCAGATGCATTGATCAGCTGCTGAGTGTTTTCCTGTATCGGGTCTCCTCTGGTGAATAATTGATGTTTCTCTCAGAAAAAAGCCGTGAACTGCAGCAGGAGGGAATCGTTTCTCCTTCGTTAACTAATGAAACTAACCAGGTTTCTGACTCTCTGCTCAAAATGGGTTTTATTTAGAAGCTGGAGTTATTTCAATTCCAAACTCAGATGTTTTTATTTTATTTCTGCTCTGCTTTTGGTTTTCCTCGCAGCCTTAAAGATCCACGTTTCCTCCGCCACCAAAGAAGTGCTGGATGAGTTTGGTTACTTTGACCTTCAGCTGCGAGGAGACGTAGAAATGAAGGTAAGATCTGATTATTTCACTCTAGTTTTATTTATTTCTTTAGTTGTGTCGTTTTAGACGAGGTTGTTTCCTCTCCAGAACACAAGAGCTCAGAGTTTCCTGTGAAATCGATTTAATTCTCACTCAGAGATTGTTCAGAACTGCGAAATAACTGATAAACGCTTAAAATTTCCCAAAATTCAACTCAAATTTGCTTCTTTAATCCCAAAACGGAGCTAAATGTTACTTTAATAAGTTGAGGGCTGCTGGCAGGAAGCGCTTCCTGTAGCAGTCTGTGTCACAGAACAGCTGATTGGCCTCTGACCAAGAGTTTGGTTAAACAAAACATGGTGGTGGCAGCATGATGCTGTGGGATGCTTTTCTTGACTTCAGAAAAGCAATAATTTTCTTTTTTTTTGTTACCTTTATAAATTGTCAGTTTGGTTCTTAAAAGACCAAAATTTCCACTTAATTTGATATTTTGTTCCGTTTGATGAGGTCAGCTTTAAATATTAATGATAATTTGATCAGTTACTATGTAATTTTTTACCAAAAACTGCATTTTACTTCAGTAAACATATGTTGAAGTAGTTCTACTCTTACTGAAGTACATTTCTGAGTACTTTATCCACTTCTGGTAATAAGTAGTAACTTGTTACATTTACTTGAGAAACTTATTTGGTTAAAATTAGTTGTAGATCTTGTTTTGCTCCACTGTGCTGCCCAGAAATTGTTCTCCTGATAATAGTAACATTAATCAGTATGTTTTTCTCACACAAGAAGTTACTCAAATACGAGTGAAAAAGTATTTTTGTACAAAGATCCGATTTAATCATGACTGAAGATATAATAAATAAAAACTCTTCATGTTCTTCCCATTGATAGGAATTTAAATATTTTCTGTTCCATCTTGGTTTTTTCAGCATGATGTATTTTTGTCTTGTGTTTTTTTTTTTACCGTCCCTTTAATGGAGCTAATCAGACCTTCTGGAAACAAAATGGCCGCCGCAGTCGAAGCCTCCTTCCTGCTGCGTTGGTGTCATTGGGTGTCGGCCGTTATCCAGGCCCAATCAAACCGCTGATGCGTCTCCATTGACGAACTGATTGATTTGTGCTTTTTTTGTTGTTGTTTTTTCAGGGAAAAGGTAAAATGAGAACATATTGGCTTCTTGGGGAGAAGACGGATGTGTACGTAATCTGAGAGGCCTGCTGACGGCGGCGCGGCTACTTTATTTGTTCTAGAATAAGTCCTTAACTGTGATTTCCAGCGAAAACAGACAGAAACGAGAGGAATCCAGGTATTTATTACCTGCTTAACTAAATAAAAACAATAAATCAGAGAGAAAAGTTGTTTTTGTATGAAGAGGGTGCTTTTCACAGATGAATCCTTATTTTTTTGTGCTTTCTATATTCAGATTTGTAATAACGTGTTTGGAAGTCGACAATGTTTTAAGTATTTTTGGAAAGATTTAAAGGCACAGAGAAGCAATCGTTGCCACTGCAGGGGTTTGATCAACCGTTTAACACAGCTGATGTATATATGTATATCCAAGACACTGTAAAATATTTTGTTCAATAAAATGAGTGAAGCACTCTTTTTTCATTTATAAGTTGCGATCTGTTGTGTTTTTTTTTCTTATTATTGACTTTTAAGCAGAAATAATTACAAACATGTTTCACCTTAAACATAAATGTCCAATAAAAACCATTAATATGGATTAAGGAGCAAAATGTATAAAATTATGTTACTGTAAACATTTGCATAAACGTGTTTATTACTCGGGCTCAGTGCTGCCCTCTTTGGGTGTAATGGTGGCGACTGCAGTTGAATTTTCCCATTGGGTTTTATAATTGGGTTTCCATGGTAACACCCTGAGACTTTTACTGAAATGTTTAATTTGGTGCAAAAATGTTTTAACCCTGGATAAATATAGGAAGTGTTTTTTTATTTTATTTAAAATGGCAAATATGGAAAATAAGTTTTTGATCTTTGCTGAATAAAATTACTTCTTTTTATTACTTGATTTTATTTAATTTTTTATTATTATTTTACTCTGGACTGGATAAATTTGTCCTTCATGACACAAAGGTTCAGACACCAAGACTCAGAAAACTCTGACAACCATCAAGTATGGTGGTGGTGGCAGTATTATGCTGTGGAGCACAAACTGGATGGACGAATCTTCACATCAAATCAAAGGCAAAAACTTGCAGTTTGAGGATAAAATAGAAATATTTCACTTTTAGAGTGTAAATGTTTTGATGGATTGGATGAAGAGCAGCGTGTGTGTGAGTCAGTGTGTGTGTGTGTGTGTGTGTGTGTGTCTGGGGGTGTGTGTGTGTGTGTGTGTGTCAGTGTGTGTGTGTGGGGGTGTGTGTGGGTGTGTGTGTGTGTGTGTGTCTGTGTGTGTCAGTGTGTGTGTCTGTGTGTGTGTGTGTGTGTGTGTGTTTGTCAGTGTGTGTGTGTGTCTGTGTGTGTGTGTGTGTCAGTGTGTGTGTGTCAGTGTGTGTGTGTGTGTGTGTCAGTGTGTGTGTGTCAGTGTGTGTGTGTGTCAGTGTGTGTGTGTCAGTGTGTGTGTGTCAGTGTGTGTGTGTCAGTGTGTGTGTGTGTCAGTGTGTGTGTGTGTGTGTGTGTGTGTGTGCTGCTCAGTGGAGTCAAACTCAAAATTAAAGAGCAGAAACAAAATTTCTGCATGTCATTTCATTTGAGGTGTTGGGTACAGATCCTCTGCGGTGCGGCTGTGAGATTCAGCACCAAATTGCTTTTTCCTGTGATATAATGAAATGTTTGGAGAAAAGCTGCATAACTAGAAGCTAAAATTGCTCGTCTCCATAGCGACCGCCTACTAATCCCCGCTGAAGGCTGAGGACGGATGAGGAATCGTCCTCTGACCGACTCCACGTGTGGATGTGCAGCCGGCTGCAGGGACGCAGCTCCGTCTCTTCTGTCTTCAAGGACAGAGACGAGATCTTTGCCCGGCGTGGGAGGAAGTTCTGTTGCTCAACATCAGTTGCACTAATTGCAGGTTGCTGCAGAGGAGAGATAATGATCCGGGAAGAATCGGCGCTTTCAGGGACGTTTTGTTCTCCACCAGGGAAAAAAACATCTACGGTTGCTTCAGAGTCCAACTTTGTGTTTAAGCTGAATTAAATGTTTTCATGACATCATCAGAATCACCAATCCGCTGATCTGCAGCCTAAACTATGAAGTTATAATTGGTGCTACGGTGGCTGACGAGTTCAAACGGCTAAACGCAGAAAAATACTGGAAACAGAAAATACAGCAATCATAGAAAAATAAAAAAACAAACATATTGCTACCTAAAAAAATATTGTAACAGTAAATAAAATGTTAGATTTGTTTTTGTTTTGGTTTGTGACAAAATAATCTGAAAAAGTCAAAGTTCTGCTGATCCTGTGTTTTTGTTAGTCGTGTGAATTTTCCAGTTTTTGCTTTAACGAGGCTGCAGCCCTTAGGAAAATAAACCCAAACCAGACGGGTTTTATTAGCTATCGGCGCACCTGGTGGACAGGTGAGGAACTGCAGGAGGAGCTCAGGCGTCACGGCTCCTCGTCATCCAGCCGGTCCTGGATCCTGGTGCTGAACAGAGACGACTTCTTGAAAGGATCGTTGGGGTTCTTGATGGCCGACACGCGCTGCCCACCATAACAAACGAAAACAGAGCAAAGGTTAAATAAGATGAGAAGATTCTAATTAAATTCAACACTGAAAATCCTAAGAGATTTAAATTCAGATGATATTCTCATATAAACTGTTTATTAGCCACTTTCACCAGTTTTAAGAATAGAACCATAAAAGTCACCATATGCTGTTTGGAGAATGGGATAGAAATTAAAATAAAAACATTAAAATTGTTGGACTTTTGAAACTCCAAAATTAATCTAAAAATTTTTCTTACAAATTTCCAACTTTTGGAGCTGAAATTTCTGTGAAATTTCTTAAATTAATTTCATTCTGAAAGTTTTTCTTGAGATTTTAGATTCATGTCATAATTTGACATTCTGTCTAATTTCCGCTGTAAGTAGTTTTAATTTCCTTATATTGTTTATAAGTTAGGAACCAGGCGAGAGCTAGTTTTTTTAGCAATCGCTTTCCAAGATGGCTGCCAGTGGTTCAGAGAAATGCTGCGTCACATGGAAACTGTGACCCAAAATGAAAACCGGTTTGACCCCGGCTGAAGCCAGTCGCTCTCAGTTCAAGATTATTTATTACTGAGATATAAAAACATGTGAATGTGATCAAACCCACACCTGGATCTGCTGGTAGTTGTCGCTCCAGAACGTGATGGCCTCCTCGTTTCTGTAGTCGTGATCCTGAAAGCGAGAGGAGAGATGAGAGAATGGTTCTGGTTCCTCTGGTTTAATGGGAGCTAACTGGTGTCAGCAGGAAGTCCACCACAGGTCAGGCAGTTTGGAGCAGAAGCTTCACGAACCGTCGACGGTTTCGCTTTGCTGGGGACGAATCCTGGAGCGCAGAAATGCCTCTGATGTGTGGTCCCGTACTCCGGTAGATACTCTCCTACCGGCTTCAGCTCGGCCAGAATCTTCTGTCTGTGGAGGCAGGAGGGGATCCGGTCAGAGGGGATCCGGTCAGAGGGGATCCAGTCAGAGGGGATCCGGTCAGAGGGGATCCAGTCAGAGGGGATCCGGTCAGAGTGGATCCGGTCAGAGGGGATCCAGTCAGAGGGGATCCGGTCAGAGGGGATCCAGTCAGAGGGGATCCGGTCAGAGTGGATCCGGTCAGAGGGAGGCCATTAAAATAAAACGGTTCAACTGAAACAAACCAGGTTCACATTTAAAAAGAATAAAGAATCTGGCTTTAGTTTTGTCTCTTCTTCACTGGAGTTTACTGGAAAGACTTGCTCACGTTTTCTTGCTAAATTTGGGTCAAATCTGGATCAGACTAAACTTTTATCACTGACAGGTTCAGGTTCTGACTTTTGTAGCCCAGAATCTCTCATGAAAATGAACAAAAACATGTTAATTTATCCTCCAACATGCAGCAGCATCTACTTTTTTTTGACCGAAAAACTGCATTTTGTTTACTCATGTTGTTTATTGAAAATGTGTTTTATAACCTAAAACATCCAAAGATAATGTATTTAAATGAGTAAATATTCCTCTCTGCATGTTTAACTCAACATCCAGAAACCCTGAGGTGAATCAGCAGCACTTAGACAAGAAAGGAAATTGAAGATACGGCTTCAAAAGCTTTTCTGCGATGTCATCAGATTCAAAGCTTTTTATTCCCTCTAAGCTCTAAAATGCAGCAGGACATTCATTTCTATGGGGGAGCCCTTCATCAAAATGACTGGGCTCCATGTAAAATAACACCATAAAGTCTGATTTAACCCAGACGGGTAAATATTACCCCATTTCCCCTGCAACGCTTTCCAGAAATGACATTTTCCTCTCCAGGATCAAAAGCGTTGTGTGACTCACCGCATCATCTGGGATAAATGATTCTCCAGCAGCTCCTTCCTGACGCCTGCGCCACCAAATAAAACACAAACCAACTCAGAGAGCACAGGAAACACAGTAAATAAATAGAAGACAGTCGTCAGCGTAAGTGTGTAAACGCTGGAATGTGATTCTCTGATGAAGGCGCTGACCTTTGACCCTCACTCCCGGACTCTTGGGAGGGACGTAAGAAGCACCGAACAGAGATAAAGTCTCCATTTTGCACCCTCGGTTTATGGTGATGAGCCCGTCGTGTCCGCTCAGCCGGATGCTCTTCTTCTTGTCGTCGATGTTGAGAGCAGCCACTGCTCTCTGGAGGACGGCAGGAAGTCAGAGACAAACGGAAACTTTAGCATAAATTAAAGTAGGGCTGGACGATATGCTTCATACAAATAATTATTGATCCAGTTCTTTCTAAATATCTGAAATATGGCCAGATTTGTGGCATAAACTTGTTTTATTTACAATTTACAATTCCAGTTCCAGTTGAATGGTGTTAAAAGGTCCAACAGAAAACTAACAATCCCTCTACAGTACCTGATCATATCTGCAGTTTGTTAAAACCATTTTAATTTACCAAAGATCCATGGCAACCAGGTATTGTTTATATAATCAGGAACAGCTGATTAGTATCAATAACACCTGAACAACCCCAAGAAATCCCAGCCATAAAAAATACATTTAATTAAATCCTGTCAAGTGTTTTTATTGCTCTGATATAATATTCTAGTCCTAAATATTGAGTTTTAATTTGCTGCAAACAGATAATTATGACACATAACAGAAATAAGCCTTTGTGTTATAAGTTTATAATATTTAGTTAAAGGCTGGAGTTACTAAAATGTATTAACTTTGATTTTTTTTATTGAATGGGTCTGTTGGTTTATTAGACTATTAAAATGAACGTAATGCCAATTCAGTAAATTAGAATGCTGTTAATTTATTAAAGTACATAATGTATAGACTAATTACACATGGCTGATGTGTTCAAGCCTTTATCTCTGTAAATTAAGATGATTTCCTGAGAAAAGCCAATGAAAACACGTTGTTTAACATAATAACATTACATCAGACCAATATATTTAATAACAGAGATGTCGGATTAATAAATATACCTCGTTAAATGTATATATTTTCACGTCTATTTTAAGCCCATTTTCGGCTCGTGTCCGCCATGTTTACTCCAGCAGTTAGCCGCTGTCATCCCCACCAGTTCTCATTTCCGGGGTTATTTTCCTCCACCAGCGGCTCATCCAGCTCACCTCCTCCACCCAGTTGTCCTTCAGAATCCCTCTGGGCTGGGTCTCCTCGGCGTCCGGCTCCTCGGCCATAGGGACACAAAATCAGCTGCTAACTCAGAAGCGAAACAACTCACAAGTTTTCCTCGGACTGCTCCGTTTGGACGTCTCCCATGGCAACGGGCAGCGCCTCCCGGAAGTGTTGTGTATGCTAGGCTACGTTAGCTCGTTGTTTGTGAACAGAACTGGGGAAATACTCACAGAACCACTGCAGAGAGGAGTCCACAGAGCATTCTGGTAGAAAACACTTTCTATAAAATGAGGCGCTGGCATGACGTAACTCCTGTCATGAACACGAAAGAGTCTCCGTGAATGTTTGTTGTCATAAAGTGTCGTTTTTAATGCAAAGCTGTGTTGAAAGTTACATCAAAATTTCCATTAAAAGTGTCAACTTTGCATTATTTGGTAAATACTGACACTTAAAGCAACGTTACCCGGAACTTGTCCATTTAAAGTGTCATAATTCACCAAATGACACTTCATGACAACAAATATATGACTGCTGTCATTAATGTTAAATACAATGTAGTTAATGCTAAATAATACTAGTGCTTTGGTATTAGCTTTTGTGAAATACCACGTTGGTGTATTGCATTAGCATTAGCTAAATGCTATGGTATTTAGCATTGTGCTAAATACCATGTTGGTGTAGCTTATTGGTAGTTTTAGCTTCTGTGAAATACTCTAGTGTTTTAGTATTAGCATTCTGCTAAATACCATGTTAGTGGAGCTTGTTAGTAGTATTAGCTTCTGTGAAATACTCTGGTATTTTAGTGTTAGCATTCGGCTAGTTACCATGTACCGCCTTAGCATTAGTTTCCACTAAATACTGTGTTGTTTGTGTAGCACTTTAGCATTGGTGGAGCTAATGTTTATGATAAGTGGTTCAGGTTTAGCATGGCTAACATTGAATTAGCAGCACCCATCACTACAAAATCCTGTATTTCTTCACAAATAATGCAATATACCTCAAATATATTTATTTAATTGGCGCCATATGTGAGAAAATGTTGTATTAGCTAAAATTGCATATAGATAAACCAAATTTGTGTTTGTTGATTAATTTGTGATTTTATATGTACATTAGTAAAGATTATTAGCTGTCTTAGAAAATAAAACAAAACCAAAACAACCTAAATAATCTAATTTTGCCTGATTATAATAATATTTGGGTGGATTTCACTGACTGTCTTCAGGTCTGATTTCTACCACCTACAACTGAGACGCCTGAAGCAAAACATCACTGTTGTTCTCTAAAAGGTAAATTCATTTTACATCCAAGTCAAGAAACATCGCCACCTTACAACCTCCTTCCTATTTCTCAGGCAGCCCTGATGAATCACTGTGTTTATTTATTTATTTATTCATATCAGCCCAAACCCGGCTAAATATATCACTCTGTGCCGGTTACTGTGGAAATAAGCACAGAAACAAACCTCTGTTGCTGAGAAACAGCGAGTAGACCTTTGCCTGTGGCGGTCGGTCGGTCGCCAGCAGCTCTGCAGGCAGCGTGGCTGAAACAGAGTCAGGCTGTGAGGATGTCAGGAGCTGGACTGAAACACGACCGTCTCTTTCACAGCGACGGGGGGATTATTCCAGCTGGAAGTGACAACATATCCTGGAATTAAAATGGAGCCAAATGTAGCAACACTTTGGAGCTTTAGGAGGTTCTAAAAGCTGCAGCATGTAACTTTTATAAGAATTATTCTTTTGCATGTTTGTTGAATAATCTGTAAAAAAAAAAAAAAATCTCCTTTGCCTTTTCCCTTTAACTAGAAACAACCAATCAGAGCCAGCGGTCTGGTCTTAGCGCTGTCAATCACAGTCCCATCTTTACCTTCCTCTTTGTTGCTGCAGCTAGCAAAACATGTCGTGTATGCTAAGGCTAGTTAGCATAGCCACTGATGACAGCACTTAAACAGTTTTCCTGTATCAGTAAGTTGTTTAGTAGTCAGTACAGTGTTGATTGACAGCGCTAAGACCCTCCTCCTCCTGGCTCTGATTGGATGTTTTGTCTGATTGGGCCAACCAATCAGAGTCAAGCTTACCAGTGAAATAAGGAAGAAGAGAGAAACAGAAATTTCATTACGATTCTGGACAAAAGAAGAAGAAAGGGGGCGGAGCTAAAAGATCAAATCCAGAATAATTAAGACAGGAAGAGTTAAGTTTCAGCAGACAGGAGCTTTAAACACATTTTGTCAAACTATAGAAATATTTATAAAACAGGATTAGGGACACTGAAAAAATATTTGACGTCTCAGAATTCAAACATTTTTTAGATTAAAGTTTTTGAAATTAGAGTCAGAATTTCATATTTATGTGCTGGAATAAGAAACGATCCACAGTTTTTCCTCCTCAATATAAACCTGACATTAAACTCTATCTTAGGTTCTGGTTGACCTTTATTATGCCGTTATTTTCCCTTATTTTTAAATTGAAATAATGACACGGTTCCGTCTGGGCCCGGCTGGTTCTGGTCAAACGTCCGGTCAGGCGGTTGAGCTGTGAGGCGTTCAGGGTCGCAGAGCGTTTTGGCCTCACCGCCGCCATCACACGCAGCCTCTGTCATCGTCTCCTTCAGAACCGCACAGCTGTTACTTCAGAACCACACAGCTGTTACTTCAGACCGCTCCTTCAGAACCGCTCGGATGTTGACTGGCCGTTGCTGCAGCGACCAGTATCCCTGCAGAGGGATAAATCGGCGCCACCACTTTGTCCAGAGTCACTTCCTCTTTGGCCAAATTACTGAGACGTTTCAGCTTTCATCTTCACTTTCATCCTCCCATGTAGTCACAAACCGACCAGAACCGACCCGAACCGGACCCCCCACCGGGAGCCGGTGCAGCATTTCATCTGTGTCACTTCGTTATCGGGTCCAAGGTGACGGAGAGGTCAGCCGAATCAGCTTCTCCTGTTCAAGTAAACAAGCAACAGGCAGCGACATTCTGAACTCTGCTCACAGGTTTATGCGTCACATGAAAAAGCGAAAAGGTTCTCCAGGACCTGAAAATGGAGAAGCTGCAGCTGCAAGAGCCAGAATAGAAACGGTGAAGACTGTCCCCTAACGGCGCCTTTCTGTCTGGAACCAGCAGGAGACAAAATCAAAGATCAACCTGCTATATGGACGTGGAAATTATTTTATTTCTGTATAAATGGGAACTCGGCATGATGGAGGCTTTACTATAGATAGAAACAAAGAAAGTAAGCTATTGACAAAATCTCAGACATTTTTGTGGTTTTGTTCTGGGAAATTTCTCAGATTAATCTCAAATTTTCAGTTTCAAGTCAAAAATGTGCTTAAGAAAACAGTAAAAATGTAGAGATTAATCTAAGAAAATGAGTTTACAAAGAAAAGGACTTCTGTGAGTTAAAAAAGTTGAAAATTTGACAGGAAAACTCAGAAATTTTAAAGAATCAAACATTTTGAAAAATTCTCTGATGCTTTTACATTCATGTCAAATGTGCAAGAAAAAAAGTCAGAAATATTTTAATTTTTGTTTTCATTTTTGAGTAAATTTTATTTTTTTTACTTTTCCTTGTTTATTCTAGAATATTTTCTTATTTCTTGTAAATATTTTCCTGATTTCTTCTATCTCCATGGCCCTAACTCGCTGTCGTAAGGGTTTATTTTAATTTAAGTCATACAAAGACGTCATTTTGCCACAATCTGCAAATATTCTCTGGATGAAAACTGCAACAGGATTAAGATGTTTATATAAAACTGTTCATTTAATTACGATTAATGACGATTATTGACAAAAAATGTAATAAGTTACAATCATCTGCTGCAACAAGATACATTCAGGGTTTTTTTTATTGTTTTAAAGCTCATAATGTGATCGACCCAAACAGCCAAACTGTCCAGACTGATCAGAACCAGAACGTCTCGTTCCTATTGGGTGACCATTTAATTCAGGCTGCGGGCAGGAAAATCCTCAACCTGTCTGAGTGATTTCAGCCACTGAGCCCAAAGGAACACGTTCTCCAATCCAACATAATTTAATTTTCTCTCCAGGTGGAATTACGCCGGAGCGTCGGCTTGTGGCGTTTCAGGTTGGCACCCAGACTCAGAGACTTTGAGCTTGGGCTGCAGTTTGGGGTGCATTAACATGTTGCCTTTAGAAAAACCTCAGTCTCCAGTAACTAATTGCCTGAGAAACACGTCGACCTTTTGCTGACAGCCGAGGGCAAACATGGAGAAACGTTTCAGCAAGAATGAGGGGAAAGTTATCGGTTCGTTTATTAACACAGATGGAGAAACTGTGAAGGAAAACAGGTTCAGATTTATTTCTGCTACACAAATAATCCAAGATAAAACAAACTATATAAATATATATATATAGTTGCAGCGCTGTAAAAGTTACTTTAACCTTTACATTTTAAGATAAATATCTGTAGGAATATCTTTTAATATTCCTGTAAAACATTTGAGCCACATTTAATTGTGTTTATCTTCTACGCCGCGTGTGTCAAACTGGAGGCCCGTGGGCCAAATCTGGCCCATCGTAGCTTTTTATGTGGCCCTTTAGACTCCAAATGACATCAAGAATTTCCTCCAGTTTCTCACAAATAAGCAAAATTTACACAAAGTCAACAAATCTCCACATTTTCTTTCTGGTTTCACTAAAAAAAATTCTCAAAATTGGTCAATAATTATTGAGTTTAATTGATTGCTGCTTCAGCCTCACTTGATGTCAAGTCTTAGCGAGTAATAAAAAGTCACATTTAGCATCATATATTAGTACAAATATTGTAAAAGTTTCTGACAAACATTTCTAAATCTGCAATTTTGATTGCAAAAAATAATCACAAAATTCTTGAGGAATATCTATTTACTGATATTTTAACAGCTTAATTGGTTTTATCAGGACATTCTGGCACAACCGGCCCTTCAAGAACATTTAGATATTTGACATGAATGCTCTGTTTTACTCTTTAAGTCAAATACATTAAGCAAGTTTTATAACACAAATTAAAGGTTTTATAGTTTATATTTGACTATCAAAGCTTTTTAATGTTCATTTCCTCTATAACTACATGGATGTAGAAACAGACTCCAGTTTCTCGACTCGTTGACACGTCAACAGATCTGCTGCTGAAGGACTCGAACACGTCAACACGTTTGTTTGCTCTTCCTGTCATTAAGCTTTGGCTCTAAATCCCCTCTTGACAGTTTCTGCAACAAAGCTTTGGGAAAAATGGTTTCTTGGTGAAGTATCGACCGCCACAAGCGCATCAGGCGGTTCGTCCGTCCCTGTTGTTTTAAAGGGCGGCCATTTTGGATTAAGACCTTCCACGTTTTCATGTTGAAGTGTCTAGAAGGAGCCAACACACCAGAGGTTTTAATCAACTCCCCTCCACTTCATCTCCACCCAACCGTTCTCTTCATCCGGACAAACAAAGAACGACGACGTGGCCGGGTTTCTGAAACCGTATAAAAGGCGACGGATGTCCAAAGTCCAAACCAGAGCAGAGAGACTTCCGAAGAAAATCCATCTCCTCCAGTAAAACGCCGTCGACCGGTCAGAAGATGAGGCGATCCCTTTTGTCCATCACTTTTGCTGCTGCCCTCTTTCTCAACTGCAACGCGATTCCCATGGGAAAGACTGAAGACGGGTCGTTGGAGCAAGACGTCTTCACCTCCATCCTAAACGACGAGGCGATGGAGGGCGGCCCGGGAGACGCGGACCTGGCCTCGGCGGCCAGAGCGCGGGCGGCCAAGGTGATCGTCATCGCCGCCGACCCGACGATCTGGAGGGACCTGAAGGTTCTGCAGAACGGGATGTCCGTCTACAAGCGGAGGGCCGACGACCAGGCGGGCGACCACGGAGACGGCGGCCAGCAGCTGAGCATCCCCATTCTGAGGAGGGACAACATGAGGTGCATGGTGGGACGGGTGTACCGGCCCTGCTGGGAAGTCTAGGACTCTTTGTTCTGCTGCATAAGGCGACCAGATGGAGGAAAGCAAAAAGAAAGAAGTCACTTCCTGTCTCAAGAAATGTGTCTCTGAGTGTTGAAATCACTGCAGATCTGTGAATAAATAATATTCAGTTCTGCTTTATGTCTGCTGTTTTCTAAAGGTGGCATTTTATGCAGGTTAGCATCAGACTATGTGGAATACAAAGCATGTTCACTGCATTTTTTTAACACAATTATTATTGTATAACGAGATTTTGGTGCCTATTATGAGATGCTTTAGAGCCTTTGTCATTTTAAATCCCAAAAAGCCGTTGCTGGCCATATAGCCCAACTCAACGTTTATTGTCAAATGTGAAAATGGCTGCAAACCGTTGCTCAACTATACAACCATGCATCTTTAAAAAGCAGAAGTGGAACCTCCTGCACAGCCAACAAAAATACAGCATGTGGTTTCTGGACGGTAAGTCAACAACTAAACACTTTGTCTTTTCCAAAGTGTTTTGGAAAAGACAAAACACTTTGCGCTTATACATGCGCTTATACAGCGCATGTGGAGGGAAAACCAGCTGACCAAATCTGCTGGAACTCTGCTTGGGTTGCTAAGTAATTTGCAGAAGTCTGGTGGGGTTGAAAGGTAACAGCACATTAGCTGTTTTTATATGTTTCCAAAGCTTTGCTGATATTCCACAAGTGTTGAAAAAAACACAATTTTACAATTGTGCCAGTTTGATTAAATGAGAAACACATTTAAAATCACATGTGAATAAGTTTAACTTTACAAGTAATTAAAAACGCGCCGCACCATCATCCTCCAACCACTTTCTGTTGTCTTATTTGTTGTTTCCGACAGTAGTAACATACAGTTGTTGATCACATGATGCAAAAAAGTCTTTCAATTGCAGTTTCACTTCATTCTAGCAATAAAGGTTGATTTCAAATTTGTCTTGCGTCCATTGAACCAAAGTATTTTTATAATACCGATTTGTAACGGTTTTTGGTCAATGGGAACATGGTGTTAAATTTACCCATCATTCATGTCATTTTTAAATGTAAAAACAGATCTAGAGAAGAAATTTGTCCCGAAAACCAAAACCAACAATCGGCTAAGAAACCCAAAGATAAAGAGTTTAAAGGAACTGTAAAGTGCTTAAGGATCTCGTTGTTGTTGTTCTTGAGTCGCTCCATTGTTCTGACAGTTCTGACTAACGCGGCACTCATCAGATCAGCTGACGACACTTTTAAATCGGATCGTGTTCAAGTTGTGTCTGTGCAGCAGCAGCTGCTCCATCTTGGCCCCTGGATTCCTCCCTGGAGGTTTTACTGGCTCTGATTCAACCAAACATCTGGGAACAGAAGCTTTGATTTCGCCGACTTGCTGCTTGGCTAACTTCTAAAATCACAGTCAGATTTCACAAAGGTTTTCCACGTCAAATCCTGCCTACAAAAAACTACGATTTCTTGACGGCTCGCTGTTTCGGGAAAGTCTTAAGGAATCAATTAGGTATTAGTTTCCAAAAGCGAATCGTCTAATGTGATAATGATTCCCTGTTGTTGTTCAGGTGTTTGCAATGAATCCTGCACATCTGTGTGACGGAGCATTTGGGTCAATGTGCACAGAAAAGAAAGACAGAAAATGTTTAATTTATTTTCAAGACAACCTTGGAAATTCAGAATTTCAAAAGTAAAAAATTTGCTCAAAAAAACTTTTGACTTTTGGAAATAAAAACAGTTTTAAAAGATTACATTTGAAAATGTTCAAATTTTGTAGCTCAGAATTTTCCTTTTTTATATTTTTAGAAAATTTCTGAGATTAAGAATTTCTGAGGTTTTGTTGCAAATTTTCAACTTTAGAAATTCAGAAAATTTCCAAAGGTTTTTTTTCTACTTCAGAAACTCAGAATGAAAAAATTTTTCCTAGAAAATTTTGAGATTTATCTCAAAATTTTTAATTTTTTTTCTTACAAATTTTCTAATTTTGAAGCTGAGAAATTTTTCAAAAGTAAAACATTTTCTTACATGTTTTTGGTTCAAAATCTTCTACATACACACACATAGCAGTTCATATAAATAATTTCTAATATATAAAAATAGATATTTTCTTTGTGTTTCATTGGATTGTAAATTAAATGTCATA